CCCTCAGAAAGGACAACTGGCCTGTAATGAGTTCCTGGGTCTCTGAGGTAGTCCAGCCTCTGGCCACAAAGTTTTGGGTAACTCATTTGATACGGAAGTGCCTTATCTTAGGTGTGTGCATACAGAAGTGGAAATACATAATCAAGACATCCTCACAACGCTGGAGAAACATAGCAACCTTCGATTGTTTGATAACATAAAACATTAATGGCTCAGTCTAAAAAGATGAGATCCCATAGATGCAGGCTCAGATTTCAAAGCAACAGACACAAAAGCTTGTCTTCAACAAGAGAGGCTTTCTGCATCTTATTAACAGCACTTCTTGAGTTTCTTGGGGTAGGCCCAGAGAGGTTTTGTTTCTTCTCTCCCCCGGTATCATGTAGACTGTTATCTGATGGTCTTCAGATGTTCAGGTGCCGAGTGCCACCTTCCACTAACCCGATGTCTTTGTATCTCAGGTCAGCTGCTTATTAAACAGTCAGACTCTTTCCCCAAGTGCTCTGTGCTAAGAATAGATACAGAAGCAAGTGTGAAGGCAGAGGGTGTGTGTGTGTGCTTAAAAGTTGAACAAGATGGGGGTGAAAGAGGAAGCGTGAAAACCAACGAGCAGTGTGGGGTTTATGTGGTTCTGATTCATTGTTCATTCTCTTTTCCATAGTGAGCAGCACGGTGTCTCCTGGGCTCCGGATCACCCCATATGATCAGCAAAGGCCAACGGATGCATCCGTGGCCAGCCAGCCATGGATACACAGCATCAAACCAGAATCTGTAAACATCCATACACAGCGTGGCTATGAGCTTCCCCTCAGAGAACATGAGAACAGAAGCCAAAGCGGGTTGCTCTTATCTGTTAGACAGTCATCAGGAAATGACATATCAAACACAGAGCTGGGACAATCTTTAAATCATGAAACAATTAATCAGTAGGCTTGCAACCGTTATTTTTTTTTAGCAGTGTATAACAAGCATATTGAGATGTTAGACTGCTTATCATAATACATGAAAAACAAACACAAGCACTTCTTGCTTATCCCCTCATTCTCATAAGATGATGGAATAATAAATTTAAAGCCTTAAGCTAAAACTTGTGGTGTAATGCTGTAAAATAGAAGAAATTTTCTGTCTGTGTGTGTTGCAATGCTCAGGGGGAAATATGGTCCTATTCAAGGGTATTTTCCATTCATTTATAAAATACTTATGAGTTCCTATAGCAGACATTCTCCACCAGTCAGAGAGACAGGTAAATAAACCCACATTCATAGCCAGTACATACCACAACAGAGGGAAAGGCGCCCTGGGCATGAAGGAAGAACACTGCAAACTTGGAAAGGTCCAGATAAAGATCACCAGGGCAGGAGTTGTCTTCAGGCCCAGCAAATATCAGAAAAGAGGGGGGAGAGAGAGAGAGAGAGAGAGAGAGAGAGAGAGAGAGAGAGAGAGACAGAGAGAGAGAGAGAGAGAGAGAGAGAGAGAGAGAGAGAGAGAGAGAGGGCCCAACTATGGGAAAAATACTGTGGTATAGATTAAGCAAACAGTTCAGAATGGGCATAGTGCTGGAGTGGCAAACAGCAGCTAGTTAGACCACAAGGGGCTTTAAGCCATGCTATGGTGGATCATGAAAACAACAGTCAACAGGGTGGGGTAGCCCCACCTCCAAATCAGAAGGTGTGATCTCGTAGAAGAGATCTACTTACAGATGGGCGAATGGAAATAGGCTCTGCATCACGGGCATGATGCTCTGGGATTGACAGGGACTATGCCCTATCCGGGGTCACATGGTCTAGAGAACAAAGGGGCTTTAGCTTCACCTGTGCCAGGGGCAGGCTCCAAGACTCTCACACGAAAGGTAGGACCATGTTCTTACCAGGTTGTCTCAGTTACTTCTCTGTTGCTGTGACGAGACACCATGAGCAAGGCACCTTACAGACAGAAGAGTTTATTTTCTCTTACATTACAGAGGGGGAGTCCGTAATGACAGAGCAAGCATGGGGGAAGGCAACTTCAGTCACTGGTAGAGAGCAAAGCTGAAGTGGGTGAGGCTTTACGCTCCCAAAGGCTGCCCCAAGGGACATGGTTCCTACAGCAAGGCTGACCTGGAACTCAACAGGCAGACCATGCTGGCCTCAGTCTCAGAGATTCAACCGTCTCTGCCTTCCAACCTCTGGGGTCACAGGTGTGTGCCATCACACCCAGCTTTCTAATTAATTAACTAATTACTTATTTGTGTGGCCATGTGTGCCACAGTGCACCTGTGGCAGTCAGAGAACAGTCTGAAGTAGTCTGTCCTCTCCTTTACCACGGGTTCTGAAGAACAAACTTGGACCATAAGGCTTGCATCAAAGCACCCCTTACTTCCTGAGCCATCTTGCTGGCCCAGCTGTAGCATTTCTTCCTCCTAGGTTTGAGACCTCGGTAGAATGTGTGTCTTAACATCTCTGTATCTCCATGGGACTGTTTTGACTAGGAAAAAAAAATCTCTCCATCTCTGAGACTGCTTTTGAGGTTTTCGTTTGGAGTATTTTGAGCATCAACAGTTAACCTCAATTTTATAATTATTGATTAAAAAATTTTCGAGCACTTACAAAGGATACTGTATTAACATCATCTGTCAGTTATCAGCAATAAGATTCTAGGTTCAACTATTCCACTTTTAATCGTTGTTATATGGTTTTATTTCAGGGACGAATATCTTGGCTTTTATTGATCTATCGATACTTTTTGATTCTGTGGAATGACATTCTTTTCACTGTCCCTTCCTGCTCATAATCACTCCACTGTACAGTTTTAACTCTGTATTGTTCTTCCGGGTTATTATGAGAAAAACTAGAAAAGTACGGCAACCAAGTCAGGTCCAACAGTCTTATTACGTGGGCAGGTCAAAAGATCTTGTTATAGAAATGTAACTGCAACTGCATCTTCAACCACGTTGCTCAGTATTGCTAGAGAAGGAGGTCAAAACCAGCCTTTTGAATCTTAGAACTAAACAGTAAAATTGGGCTATGTTTTAGACTTTATTAATATGTCTAAGTCATACAGCTCGAAATGATAAATCATATGAAAGTCTTCAACGGTTACAAAAAGGAACATAAGTTATCTCTCCAATGTGGAATTATTCATCCACTAAAAACATACTTGTTACCCACCTTCTCTGTGATGGACATGGTAAATAACAGACAGCAAGATGTAGCAGCGATCGGAATAAGCAATGTTCTCACTCACAGGGCTTATGTTCAAATGAGGGTAGGGAACCAGAGATGGCAGGGGCTGAGTACTTAGTGCTGAAAAGTGAGGCAGTGGGCAAGGACGGAAGGTTTCTGTAGGTGACAAGGAAGAAGGAGCCAGCTGTGTGAAGGGCTAACAGCATGCCAATAAGGGACCCTTGGTGTGTGAATACACAGAGAATGTAGTCTGGTGTCGGGGACAACTAATAAAGCAAGTGAGAGTAGCTCAGGCTAGTGTTAGTGATCACAATTGCAAAGGATATTTTGAAGGCTTTTACTGGAGTGATGGACAAATAATTAGAGATCAGAATCAGCTGGTAAATCTAATGGGAAAGACTCCAGGATAGAACAATTGGCGTGTTTAGTTAGTAGAAGGGAAAAGAAACGTTATATGAGGGTGCCTGTTTTAAATCGGGGTCCCCTTTCTTTCGTTGTATCTGATTCGCTGTTAAAGCGCACCAACACTAACACTGAAAACACAAACCAAGCCTCAAAGTAGTTCCAAATTCCACCAGTGCAGGCTGTGGGTTTATACACTGGATTCTGTCATTAAAGACAATGCTGCTGGAGTTTTGTGTGTAGACGTCACTGCATGGGGAGTGACTTCTCTACTGCTTCTGATAAAAACTATCTTGTGCTTTGTAAGCCAAGCCAACACCGTAGTTTCTTGATGTATCTATTTCCTGATTGTAACAGCGTTAAGTGATTCTATCCTTTTCTCTTGGGATTGTCAGTGCTTCATAGTTTTACATTGTTGCTTTTTCCAACCATTTTCTCAGTTCACAAAACATCCTTAAATATATCTCCCAATCACCCCAAGCTCATACACAATAAGGTTATATTATTCCAGTATTAGTCTTTAGGACAACTGCTTCCCACTGGGTTTTTTTTTATGAAGACATATTGAAGATCTCGTGGGTAAATGCTATTTCGGGGAAATAACCACAGTTAACCACCACGGAAGAGGGACAGCCATGTCAGAGTCACAAGCACCAAGTATACACACACACAAACACACACACACACACACACACACATTCTGAATACATGAATTACTTTAAGAACCAAATACAGCTAGGCACCTCATCCACATATGACTGACTCACGGAAGAAAGAAAGGGAGCCCCCTCCTTCCTTCCTTCCTTCTACCCAGGGATCATAGTTGTTTTTTTACTATCGATGAGGCAACAAAGTGTCACATATTAGTGCTTCACATACAGGTATTGGATAGATTGCTTTTTCTCAGCACTGAGCATAAGCAGTTACGTGTTGTATACAGGAGTAAATTACATCCCACCATTGTAAAACAACCACAGGGTCTGCACATCATAACTTCGATGGCACAAATCCACTACTCAGGACACTTATCAGACTTCTGCAAGAAGAAAGGTTTCAGGCGCTGGCCAAGGCAGACTTTTACTGATTTCCCTGTAAGCTGAGACATAGAGGCCATCTCCCTCTGGTCGCCTTCCGGTCCTGCAGAAGGAACTCTCCCTTACTTCCCATCCCCAAGAATTCCCCTGCTCCCAGTTTCTAGGGGCTGGCACATTCTGAGCTCCATACAGTATGCTCTACCCGGCCCTCCTCGCCGGAGCTCCGCCCAGTAAGAGGATGATGAACCGGGTGCCCTGGCTCTCCAAGCCGGGACCTGTACCCTTCAGGAGAACGGAATTCTCGGTCTTTGGGCCCTGCTGCGAGAGTGCGGAGCTTAGCACCCTGGGCGGAGCGGGCGGGACTCGGTGGTGGGCGGGGTCTACTGTCGTGGGGCGGGGCGGCCGCGCCGGGACTAACCGGCGAGCGTGTGCCCGACCCCCACTCACTGTCGCGCGCGTGCCCGTCCGCCCCCTCAGGGGCTGCGGGACAAGTTTGACTCCTGGCCTGGCGTCGCCTGACGGAGAGGAGTGGCTCGGCCCGGGAGAGCCGCTGCGCGAGGCGACGCTGTGGGGAAGGGGCTGGGGGCGCGCGCGGGGCCGAGCATCCCTCCGCTGAGCGCGCCCGCCCGCGCCCCGCGCAGCCTCCCCGCCCGCCGCCCCGCGCCGCGGTGACCCCGGGCCTCCCTCCTGACCCCCCGCGGTAAGTGCGACTTCCTCCTCAGCGCGGTGGGCTAAAGCCAGCTCCCTATACCCAGGCGACCCTTCGGGGTCCGAGGACTCGCTGGCAAGGGTGACCTGCTCAGTATAGGAGTCGGCCCGGGCTGGGGGCTCTGGAGCTGCAACCGGGACTCGAACCCGGTTTTTCCCTTACCCTCCTGCCCCCCATCCCCGGAACTCGGCCCTGCCGCCCTGGAGTTGTTCAAAGTTCTCCACGCGGCACTGATGGGCTGGCGGGTGGAGCGAGTGCTGCTCTCCAGAATTGTTCCCAAGAATAAAACACGCTGGAAACTATTTCTGATCCCTACAACATACACACCTTGTTAAAAGTTTTTAAGTAATGGCCTTATCCTCAAATGTGGAGAATAAGGTTGGAGTTTCCTGTGTTTGGTTTTGATTGGTCACAGCTTTGGCGTTTAGATAGTTACTCCAGTGCGTGTTCCGCAATTAGAAGCTGCTGGGAGAACCTGGCTGTCAGAGAATATACATTGTTGCCATTATGATTATCTCATCTGAGTTTTGAGACTTACTAAAAGGGATATACAGAATGTATCCCCACGCCCCCAACACCGCCATTCTTATGTCTGGTTCAGGGATTTTGCACTGGCAGATGCCCTCCAACTTTGTTTTGAAACTGGAACTGCTATACCATGTGTCTGGCAGTTTTACAGATGCACAATAAATGTTAGTTCTCCTCTCTGTTAGGAAGCAGTTTAATAAATCTTCCTGTTAATAAACAGTTTAATAAGACTTTTTATTATTAATTAGATCGCTGCTCGGGGAGGGGGAATTCACAACTTTTTTTTTTCCTCTGACTTTCAGCATTTACAGCTTTGACTACTTGTAATGATTGTTTATGTTCCGTATGGGGATTTATGTAAAACACTTTTAGGTAAAGGCAAATGCACTAATATTTTTGTGACAAGGAAAGAGAAATAGATACAAACTTGTAAGAAAAAAAAAAGACGAACATACATACTCACAGAGTAGGTATATCCAGATATTTGAAGCCATTTTGTGTCGATGTGTACAATATAGTTAAACAAACTAGATGAAAATATTGAGGTCGAGGAGAAAGCCAGGCTGGAAAGGAGGAGAAAGCACATGCAATCAGGTCCTGTGCTACATGTGAGTCTTGGTTTGGGTTTTGAACTTCCTTAGAGTCAGGAAAGGAACACAGTAAGCTACAGCATGTTTATAATTACACCGTTAAAAAAAAGTCAGTTCTTCTGCATAAGAAGGCATTTTCTAGTAATGAGGCCTGAGAGAAACAGGTTTTTATGGGTCCTAAGAACAGGAAGAGAGATGGTGTGCCAGCTGATATTTTTAAAAGATCCCAGCAGAAAATCATAAATTTTGCGCGCGTACGCGCACACACACACACACACACACAAAGTGTTTTTAACATAAGGCATGTTGAAATTAAAAGAATATGTTCTGTGAATTCATGGTTGTGATGATCTGAACTAGTATTTCCCAAGCCATGCTCAGTGGCAGAGGACTTACTTGTCTGCTCTGCACAAGGTCCTCTTTGTCCCAGCTCCAGGACAAGGGACGATGGAAAAACATTCTAAACTCAGATGAACTCGAGATATCTGGATTAGATAGATGCTTTTTTTTTTTTAACCTAGAGTTTCTTGAAAGTTTTTAACCATACTGCTGTAAAATTGATTGATAGAAGAATGCATGCTGTGACCTATTCCAAATTTAATAAAGCAGTTCTTCATGGATATTTTCTTACAGCTTCAGAACCGATAAGAACTGGAGAGCAAAATGTTTGAAGTTAGTGAATTTGGTAAGGACCAAAACGAAGCTAATCCAGAAGTCAGGGTTTGAACACCGTACACATCAAAGGAAAAGGCTGCTCTCGTACTCCACAGATCTTCAGCAAGTGGCCTCTTGGACTAGAGGACCTATAGGACTTTTCATTCATGCTTCAGAATGGTTACTGTTTGAGAATTAGAACTAGGTTTAGGCAAGTAAGAATCCTTGAATTACCTTCAATTATTAGTGAATATAAAGAAGTGATTTGCATGCTATCTTATCACAAACATCTGTACTATTTACTGTAAAACTCTACATTTGTAGCTATGAAAGATCTCAGAAAACATGCCACACGGTAGAAAGAGCAAAAGGGCTAGGTGTGGCGGCCCAAGCCTTTAATCCTAGCATTTTAGAGACAGAAGTATCCAGATTTCTATGAGTTTGAGGCCAGCAAGTTCCATATATAGCAAGTTCCTATATAGCAAGTTCCAGGCCATCCAAGGCTACAGAGTGAGATTTGAGACCCTGTCTCAAAACAACAATGAAAAGGAGAAAGAGATCTGGAACAAAACAAAATATAATTGCGCTTATTAATGTTTGGGTCTGTTTCACCAAGTTTATGAACATTTTGGATCTGTATTCTAGTTTATAAGACTTCTGTGGTTATAGCAAACAGTTCATTCGTGGAATAAATGCTGAGAATGTACTGGGTACTGGAAGTAAGGCAGCCTTAAGGATGCAAACGAGGACAGGCCACAAGAGTTTGGCTTGTAAGATTCACATCTTCTCCGGATATACTTGGATCCTGGGTTTCAGAAGTCAGGCAGTGAGGGCTGAGAGAATGAGGAACTGGTTTGAAAATTTATCTGGAGCCGACATATGGAAGTACAGTACTCCTATACATAAGTAATTTGGGACGGGGACACAGGACTACAAAATATTACCATTCTGAAAAATTAAGAGCCAACGCTATTTATTCTCTTCATCCTAGTTGTGACGTTTGCTGAGTATCAAACAGAATAGGTTAGGCTGTGGTCACAGAAGATCCTCACGTCCTAGTGGCTCAAGTCAGCAAAGGTTTATTTCTGTCATCCTGTATGTCTGATGAGGGTCAACATGAGAGCTCTGTTTCAAGTGGTCATTTGAGCCCCAGGCTGTTAGAGACTGCATCTCAGTGCATTCTTCCACAGTTGGAAGGAGAGAGGAAAGGATGTGCTGGCTCTTCAAGGCTTCCATTGGAGGTGGCCATACAACTCATAGCTATAGCTAAGTAGGGAAATGCTTCCTTACCTAATGTGTGAGAAGGAAGAGACCTGGCACCATCTGTGAACAGTCTTAATGACCACTCTACTAAGCTGGCTTCATAACCCTAAGAGTTAACATGGGATCTGAATAAGCTGTACCACCCAGGTTTTCAGTCTTCTATTTAAAAAAAAAATGGCAAACAGCATTTCTTTGTATATGTGTGCGTGTTTAGACAGAATTATGGTAATGAGGATTATAAAGAACATCTTAATTTGAAATGAAACACTATTTAAAACCCCACAATTAGATGTACTATTTTGATCAAGTGAGTTTCATTTTGAATTGTCTGTACAATCAATAAACATTTGTTAAATGTGTATAAGGCACTGTTAGGTCTTCTGAAAATAAAATAGTGAATGGGAGTTTATAATGCCAAAAGAAAATAGCTGTAATTTGAGTTCTCTCCTTTTTTAAGGCGGCATTAACAAAATTTTGGAGAATAACACACACACACACACACTCACACACTCAAACACAGAGACACTATATTTTGTATTCCTTTCTCTTTGTTTTGCTCTTAAGATTTATTTCCTAACAAGTTACATAAAAGCAGTTTAAGCAACCAGAGTGTTTTGTTAGCAACTATGTAGCTTTGTGTCAGTGTCAGAGACCAGAAACCCAGTTGGGCCTCGAGGCCCTTGGCATCACTAATCGTAAATTGGAAGTAGGGCTGTTTTCTCTGTGTGTGATTTCTTTCCAGTCCCTCTCTGCCTGTATGTTCATTGCTCTGTTTCTCTATTGACTAGCCTTTCTCTGTTTTGCTCTTACAAGGGTGCTTTAATCTAAGAGCTCATGGACTTGAAACTAGAACTTTTGCAGTTTCTCCAAGCCTAGCATTTTGTAAATGCAAAATGGAAGTTAGCCTTCTCAGTGGTTCTTGACCTGTGGTTCACTACCCTTTGGGAGTGGAATGACCCTTTCTTAGGAGTCACCTAAGACCATCTGCATATCATATATTTACATTATGATTAATAACAGTAGCAAAATCATAGTTTTGAAGTAGCAGCGGAAATAATTTTATGATTGGGGGTCACTGAAGCATGAGGAGCTGTATTAAAGGGTCACAGCGCTAGGAAGGTTGAGAACCACTTAAGGCTTAAGTGATTTCACTGTCAGAACTTGGAAATAGTGGAGTTGTCTCTGAAAGTACAACAAAGTAACTGGCAACTTGGTAGAAAAGGAGGAGGCTGTTCTAGTAGCTTGCTGAGAAGCCTAAGGTTAAAGAAACCTGAGATGCAACTTTAAAAACATCCGTATGATTAGTTTGCAAGTTGTCCTGGGACAGATTGATTATGATCAGAATGGGAAGGGAATCTTGGAGTTGACTTTCAGCTAGTATATGCACTTCCAAACACAGGCAATGTCTTTATTTTTTATTCCTTTCATTTGTTTCTTCTTCCTCTCCCAAGATATAGGTGACTGAATTGTCCGCCTCTTCCCTTCGTGTCCTTTAATCCTTATGTGAGACTCCCTGGATCCACCTCAAAGCTTTTACTGCAGAAAGAAAGAAGCCTTGTCCATGCTAGTTCAGCATTTCCCTATCCAGCAAACCACTCTCCAGGACACCTTCTATCTGGACGTTTTAAATTTTAACATCCTGTTGTTATATTTCTTTACTGACTTGATTTCTATTCCCAGCAACCTTGCATTCTCTATTAGCATCGTGTGTTCATCTTCTCTAGCAATGTCTCTTCCCAGTCAAAAGGTATCCATAGCTGCACTTCAGTAGGCCGTTAAGAGGTTGCTCTGTATGATATCTGGAAGAAGGGATTACCAGGAAAACATGAGTGAGATGAGAAAAGGCTGTGTTTGTTGTAAGAACTGGGTGTGGTGGTGCATTCTTGTAATCCCAGCACTTAAAAGGCAGAGGCAGAAAGATCAAAGCAACCTGAGCCAGCCTGAGCTAAGTAGCAA